GCGGTGGAATGGGCGGCGCGCGGGCGCCCCGGAGAGGCGGCGCCCCGGCCCATCGGCAAGGCGCGACGCCACCAGCTTGCATCGCAGAAGGTCAGGCCGCCAGCCCGGGCCCCGTGGCTCTGCAGACCCCTCCACTGATCTGGGAGGCGGTCTCGAGGCTTGGGAGTTCCTTCCCCCGATCGCTCGGGGAACCCCGTCGAGGGCGACCCCGAGCCGCTCGCTGGCGATTCGGCGAAGGCCATCGCAGAGAAAATAATGGAGAGCGAATGCGAAGCATTCTTGCGGCGAGGGGCTGGAGGCAGGCGACGGCTTTTTCTCGCTCCGACGTTTCGCGCGGCTGTTCTTCGCCGCCCCGCGCGGCGCGAGACAGAGTCGACAGGGTGCTGCGGCGGGCGATTGCGAGGTTGCATGCCCGCGCCGCCGCGTTGAGGTTGCGTCTCGGCCCCATCGGCGCCGCGGGCGCGCTCGCGATCGGGGGCCAAGGCGCGCGCCCAGTCTGACCATCTCATCGGCGCAGCCTACTCCCTGTTTGAGTCGGCGTCGAGTTTTTTGCGTCGAGGCTTGATGATCTCCGCGAGTTGGGCGGATCCCGCCGCCGGCCAGCCCGTGGTTGCGGGGGGCTTCAGACGCGAATCCAGGCACCGCCGATGGGGTGCTTGGGACCGGGGTCTGAGGATCAGCGTATTGTGGTGTTCTGAGATGCGTCTGGCGGTAAATGTTCGGTGGTTCGCGTTTTGCGCGGGATGGCGTTGCCATTGCGGTTTCCGTAAGTTTCTAGCTTTGCGTTGCTCGAACCGCGGCGCTGGGGCCTCTGGCGGGCTCGAAGCAGTCTGTTCATCGGGGGTGATCTGCGCGGTTGTCTGTTGGCTTTTGGTAAGCGTGCGAGAGCGCATGACATGCGTGACCGATTGTGACGCCGTTGTTTCGGGTTCGATTGCCCGCGCGCACCGACGACCTTGCGGTGCCGACTGAGACGCGTGGCACATCATAGATCGCGTTCGGAAGCAGAGGGTCGGTCAGGTTTCAGCGCTGCTTGCATATTCACACCTCGCCGAGGGCCACGCTGACGCGGCCGGGGCTCGTCATCGGATATTCGCGCGTGGACGGTCTCGCAGGTCAGGCGGCCCCGCGCGCCAGCGTGCCAGACGACATGTAGGCGCGCGCTATGAAGGTATAGCGGACAGCCACCCTCATCACGCACTGCCTGCTCAGGACGACCCTCGAAGCCCCGCGCGCGGAGGTAGGAGCGGGGGCGCCCCCGAGGGAGAACGGACTACATCCTCTCCCCCCTCCCCACCTCTCCTGCAGTTCTTTCCTTTCTTTCCGCGCATGTACTCGAAAGTGCGCTGCGGCTTGGCGCTCCAAGCGACGCAGCTTCGGAGTGGTGGATTTCCTTTTGGTTCCAACCCCACGGTGTGAATTCGAAGTTGCGCTACATCCCTGCCAGGGGGGCGGATTCATGTCGCTGGCGAGTGGGTGGTAGGGGCGCATCAGATGAGGCTGCTCACGGTGCTCAGTGCGTGGTTTTTGAGTTTCGCGCGATCACTTCGCCCGCTCACAGATTCGCGAGTTGGGCAAGCCATGCTATCATCGCGTTGGCCCTCACTGTCAGGAGCACCCGGCTCGGACTGAGGGCGGGGAGCGGCCCTGGCGAAGTTTAGCCGCTTCGTCGCTCGTAGCTTCCTTTGACCACTGCGTGGGATTGCTCGAACCTCGGACCTCCCAACGTCCCACTCCTTCGGCAGAACGCCACTGTACACCACCACTGGCCATGGCCACTTGGGGCTCCAGGATGGTGTGCATACCAGGCCTCGGCTGGGAGGACGCGCGCACCGTGCCAGGGCCCAGGATTGCACAGGCCAGGCAGTGTGGCGGTGTAAATATACGGTCGAGAATTTTTGATCACCTCGCCCCGCCGCTGGTTTTGGCCCGGCACCACGCTTCGGCGCGACACGCGAACCACGCCCCGATTTCCAACTGTCACCGCCCCGAGATTATCCGAGCCCCCCGCCCCACGGGGGGCCCCACGGGGGGGGGGGGGCGACACGCTATCCGCTTGCAAGGCATGGCGTGGTGCCGGGGCCGAAGACGCGACACGCCATGCAAGAACAACCCGACCGTAAACGGGTGGCGGAAAGGGTGGGGATGACGAGGCCTTATGGAAACCATGCGCGCTGCTACCTGCTCATGAGCGCTAGTGTGTCTCATGGAATCAGTGTGCGTCAGTGTGTATGGTTGTTGTTCCGTGTGCGTTGCCAGTTGCTTGGTTTTGCAGTTGAAGCGAAACGAAGGTTTATGGAACCCACTATAAGCGACAGGGCGCCTGAACCCATGAGGTGTTCCTTAGTGCTGGGCGAGCTGACCTCCTCGCAGAGAGTTGGCCACTTGATGATGCCCGTTACGGACCATTGATGCAGCATGATGTGTGTGTGGGGGGGGCCCTCCGCTACAATTCCATCCAGGAAAAAAAAAACGACGAGGAGGAGAGGAGCTGTTGCACCCTTGCCGCTAGCTGTGCTGTCCATATCGCTGCCGCGTTCGACCTGGCCCTCCTTTGTACGTCCTTACCCGTGCAGGGCGAGGTCGGCCGGGAGGCCTGCTCGACCTGCCAAGGCGGGCGCGACAGCTTGGGATTAGCGACTACACGTCAGAGTGACCCTTCAACGGAGTGACCTTTCTGGTGCGGGCGCACCGGCGTCCCCCCGATCGCTGAGCGCGATGCGATAGTGGTTGCCCAGGCGCTTGGATTTGGCCACCCTGCGCCCTTTCTAGTCCGCGCGCCGAAGGTCAGTCTTGCCTAGGGCCACTCTTGCGCATGGCCGAGGTATAGGCCTCGGAAACAAATAGCGAACACTCATGCCACATTCATCTGCCAACGCCTCCCTTCCCCCCGACTGTTCAAAGTTGGCGGCGGGTCTGATGAGTTGCACCTCGACCGCAGTCTCCCCCGCGCGTGCCAGTTTTGAATTTGGGGGGGAGGGTGACTGTAATTGTTTCCCTCTACCGTTGTTCTAGAGAGAGGCAATTATTGGCCGTACCACAGATACTACACGCTGCGTAATTTACCAGACGCAACAGCACGTTGTTGGTGCAAGCTGAGGGTTTGTCGACCTGTGTTGTACCAGTCAAGGATTCCGTTGCAGCTGAAGTATATATCTGTCGTCAAGACTGGAAGCACAAAGGTCTGTTGCACGGCGAGCCTCACGTGTCGCCGCGAGCAGCGCTGACGTGATGTTGTGACACAAGAGGGGCCTATCTCTGCAATGCGTGGTCCCATCTTTTCGCTTGTGTGGTTAACGACCAGGTGTTGCTTACACTACAGATTCCCGCCCGAAAGTCGAATGCAACGTAATGGTGTTGCGCAGTTGCTTTGCACATGCTTACCACATTGGCATTCGACACAGGCATGCATCAGTACATGCACGAGTATGACTAGTTATGGTTGCATTGCCGTATGCGTGTTCATGTTAATTGCATGTCGACGATAGAGAAGCCTGTGCAAGTCCATGCATGCGCACATGTAACGTATTGGATCGGTGTGCATAACCCTATGTGGGCATGATTGTATGTTCATGTGCAGGCGTGCGTACACGATCAGGAATGCATATACGAGCGCACCTGTACACGTATAGCAACATACCGTTATTCCGCATGTGCGTCAGGTATGGTCATGTTTAGCCGTGCGTCCATGTGAACAGGTGCATACATGCACATACACGCACATGCAAGCTCTCATACCTTTTAACTTTGCATCTCTCTCACTTCTTTTAAGTACTATGCGCATGCGCAGTACGTGCACGCGCATGCGCACGAGCCCTACTCAGAGCTTGCACTAAAGGGCTCGTATGAGTGTCATAAACAGGAAATTGCCTTGTCGCGTTGCCGCCTGGTTTCCCATGGGCTTCTGAAGCACTTTCCGGTGGCATCTCGAAGCATCTTGCGCCTCGACAGCGTGGGCAGTTTGGCGAGATTTGTGGTGACCGCCCGTGTCTCTTGCGGCCGCGGTGGCCGCGCCTTCCAGTGGCCGCACGAGCTCCCCTCGGGGTGTGTGCGTGTGCAGTAAGTAGGGCTCCAGACCTTCACTGGGTTGCACACACGCGCACATTCAGGGTTCCGCGCGCATTGGGCTCAACACTCACGCGCACACATCAGGCTTCCAACTCAACTGGGATCCACACACGTCAAGTTCAAGACGCGCACATGGATCCATACGCAGGTTTACTCTCAACGAATTCCACACACGCTGTCACACTTGTCTCTACTTTTGTTACTCACGCATCGGCAGCATGGATCTAGCAGTTGTCTTTCTGGCGTTTTCCATGTGTAGGTACATGCCTGTGTATAAGAGTATGCAGTCTATGCATGTCTGCGTGATGCCCCACAAGTGATCTGATGTGAGCTGAGCTGCAGCGGTTCTGAGTCGTTGCCCAACTCGTTTCATGCTAGACCTGTGTTGCCTCGTTTTTGATGTGGCGTGCAGCTCAGCGAGACCTAACTGTTTACATTCAGAAGTACTCCTGCTAGCCTGGCCGAGCCCTGCCCAGAGCGTGTTCGTATACTCCAGAGGTGTTGGGTGGTTATGCTTTCTGACACTGGACCCACAGGTGCCCCGATCGCGGAATGCATTGCGATAGCAGCGGCATGCGCGCAATAGGCCGCCAACCAAGGCTGATTTTTGCCGAGGGTCAATCCTGCGCGTAGCCAATGGTGGCCCTCCTGGCCAGAGTTCCCAGAACAGGCGCGCGAGGATTTCCCGTGAATCGCTTCCCGTTGCAGTTGTGCCAGCTTTGCCCCCGGGGCCCCGCGGGCCCCGCAGGGGCGGGGCCACACCATCGTCCCCAGAGCTCCGACGTCGTGATTTCATTGCACTGGGAACCTCCGGATATCTGGACCTCTTCCCCAGGACCGGTGTTCCACGAGGAGGCCCAGGGCACGGCCAGAAGCTTCCCAGATGCCGCTCGCGGCGGGAGGAGGTAGGGCTCCGCGTCTGCCCCGCCGAGGCGGCATGGACGACTTCGACTACTGAGCCCCCTGCGTTCCCCTCGGCCCTCGGTGAGTGGCCGTTGGGGCCCCCCGCACATCAGCGGCAACGTCAGGGGGGGGGGGCAGGCCCAGGGGTAGGTCGGGCATGTCCCCCTACAGGAGGAATGTTCCAGAACGGTAGAAAAGTAGTCTGGTGACGTTTTTTGTTCAGTATTGTTGGTTACATGTTGGATTTGTTTCGACTGTGTTTTAGTTTTCTTCCAAATCTGCCCTACCCTAAGCCCAGGGAGCGATGCATCGACTCGCAACCGACAATTGGTCGCCGACAGGGGCCCGACAGACCTCCCCGCCAAGCAGCGTGCGGTTGCCGTTGATCCATCGGCGATGCATCGGCGAGTTCAGCTCGATGTTTCCCCGCCTGCCTGGACATCCGACATCGTGCGTGCTTTTTACTCGGGCAGTGGCGAAGCGTCCTAGCTTGCCTATAGGCCCACCAAAGGATGTTCTAAGAACCTTTTGTGGTCTGCACGAAATTGTCTTTGGACATTTCTGGCTGAGACTGTCTTGTGTTAACGCATCGGCCTTCTGCTCTAAATGTGTTGTTATTATAACATGTCTGGGTTCGAGAAACATGTCGTGGCAGGCCAATAGGACTACCGGGGCGGTCGGTCACTGCTCAACACCTGTTTGGACATCCGACGTCGTGCGTTTTTTTGTTGTTCACAGCGTGGAGCCCCCGATAAGCGACGCGCCAGGGGGGGGGGAGAGTGAGAAGGGGCGGGCCTGCTCAGAAGGCTCGGACGTCCCCCGGCCTTCTGAGAAGCCTCCTGAGCCTTCCCCGAAGACACGGAACACCTCTCAGAAGGCGCGAGGCTTCCGAAGAGAATACCCGCCGCCTAGAGTACCCGCCGCCTGCTGAGAAGGCCTTCTCCTCCTGCTCCTTCTTTCCCCCCCTCGCTCGCCGCCGACTGAGACGATCCCAGAGCCCCGACGTCATGAATTCTTCATGACGTCGACGCCCGAAGGTCTCGACCCATTCCCCGGGACGAGTTTCTCCTCCTGGGTCATTTGTGGACGGCCCCGAGGCCCAGCACGGGCCTCCAGAGGTCGAGCATAGCAGACAAAGAGCAGTCGTGATCTTTGCTCATGCCTCGCTCGCCGCCTACAGACATCCGACCTCGTGTTTGTTTGCTCGCAGCGCGGCTTCCCAGGGGTCTGGACCCATCCCCCGGGAGCGGCTTCTCCTCCCGAGGCGCTTCTCCGACGGCCCCAGGGCTCGGTGAGGGCCCCCCACAGGCCGTCGATGAGCGGCAGCTTCCCGCCGCGAGGTTTCTGTGTCGAGAGGATGTCAGGGCCTACAGTCGGGGCACTGAGGAAGGAACCCTTTCCGTTTGGGAGGGGCTCGGCGTTCCTTAGTTGTTTTGCAGTTCGCCTTTGGTTTTGCTTACGGTTTCGATGGGAAATCGAAGTTTAACTCCTGGAAAAAAGGGGCCTCGTTCCTTATTTTGGGTTCCTTAGGTCAAGCCCCCGACTGTATCCCAGACCCCCCTCGAGTCATGAAAAACAAATCACGACGGGAGGTTTGTTCGCTATGCTCGGCCTCTGGTGGCCCCTGCCTGGCCTCGGGACCGTCAAAAAACGACCCAGAAGGAGAAACTCGTCCCGGGGCATGGGTCGAGACCTTTGGGCGTCGACGTCATGAAGAATTCATGACGTCGTCGGGGCTCTGGGATCGTCTCGGTCGGCGGCGAGCGACGGGGGGAACAGAAGAAGAAGAAGGAGAAGGCCTTCTCAGCAGGCGGCGGGCTTTTCTCCTCAGAAGCCCTCGCGTCTTCTGAGAGGCGTTCCGTGCGCTCGGGGGGGGGGAAGGCTCAGGAGACTCCTCAGGAGGCCGGGGGGCGTCCGAGCCTTCCAAGCAGGCCCGCCCCTTCTCGCTCTCTCCAACCCTGGGGGACCGTCGCCGATCTCGGAGGCGCGAAACTCGATGTTGCCGTTTCTCGGGTTAGCCGACGCGTCTTGGCGAGCACGTCCTGGGTGTTTCGGCGACGCGCCAGGGAGGGGCGGGCTGGGAGTGAGGAGGGGCGGGCCTGCTCAGGAGGCTCAGACGTCCCCCGGCCGTTTGAGACGTTTCCGATGCCTTCCCCGAAGACACGGAAAGCTTCTCAGAAGGCGCGAGGGCTTCTGAGAAGTCCCGCCGCCTTCTGAGAAGGCCTTCTCCTTCTCGTTTCCTCCCCTCGCTCGGCGCCGAGTTTTGACGGTCCAGTGTTCGTGGGATGTTTGCGGCGGGAGTTCGCGCCAAGCTTCACATTGGGTATCGTCAGTTTCTTGACGGGCCCGCCAGCCCAACCCGAGTCTCCCGAACCCGAGTCTTGCGTCTCCCCCTCGCTCGCCGCCGATCGTCGAGAGGATGGAGCCTGTGTTTCTAAGGTCTCGGCGACAACGGCCATGATCGGCCCTCTCAATCCCCTTCCCCCCTCCCAGATCACGTCACGCTATCTGGCCCACGCTGGCAAAGATGTCCTGCGCATTCTTCGAGGATTCCCTTCTGAGATCGGGGGGGGGGGGGGCAAACTCTCCCCCCCGCGCGAGCATCGACAACTCTCCCCCGAACTCTCCCCCCCGAACTTCTGTGAGCGGGGCGGACGAACTCCCCCGATCACGCCCGCTGTCGCGAAGCATCAAGAAAGGCAGGCGCATGGCAGGGCCTGCCGCTCCTCCCCGGCGCTCGCCCCTTGAGCGCCTCCCGCGGCGGGGGCGCGCGCGGGCGCCGGCGCTGCGCGCCGCGGGGCAGCCCCGTGGGCCGGGTGGTGAGCGGAGCGCCCGCGGGCCTGGGCCCCGGCGGCCCGCGGGGGCTCGATTGCCGGCACGCTCGAGCGAGAGGGGCACGAGGGCCGACCACAACGCCGTTGAGTTTTTTTTGTGAAAGGCGATTAGATGGAGAGGAAGCATGCTGCCAAGTGGTGTCCAGGCGTCTAAACATGTGTCAAACGTGTTTTTTTACATGTTTTGAAACATGTTTGAGCCATGTTGAACATGCTGGGAACATGTTGAGGCATGCTCCATATGTAAAAACATGTCTGAAACATGTTCAGAACATGTTTTACACATTTCCAGCACATGCAAAATGAAACGATAGGACTATCAGGTTGTCCAGTGTCATGGCATCCACAAGTTTAGTTTGGAGATGACCTGTGTTTTGTGGTTCGTTGCTTTTGTCGTTGGTTTCTCGTTCCGTTGTTCATTGTTGGTGTGAACGCCTCGACGCCTCGTTTCGTTTGTCGTCTCGTTTGGCACTGGCTTCGTCGTAAACGTTCGTTTTAAGCGTTGGGCTTCGTTTCGTTATTCGTTTTAAACGCCATTTCGTTTTAAACATCGTTGTGGTCGGTCCTTTTACGGAGAGAATCGGGGACCACACAACTATGTGAAGCTAAACTTTCGGAGGTCCGCGCGGATTTCTCAGATCGGCGCTGGGCCCGCCTCCCTGGAGCGCGGGGCGCGTCAGGGGCAGCGCCGGAGGCGCCGCTGAGGGGCCCCAGCACAGGTCCGAGAAATCCGCGCGGACATTCGAACATTTATGTTTGATTCATTGTTTGTTCTCCTTAAGAATGGAAACGAACCCTGGGATCCTGGCGTCGCAATTTTTCCATCCCGTGGCCCGCACGGATCGATACGGTTCGAAAAATGCCGCAGAAAGATGTGGTCTGGGGCTCCGGCTGAGTTCGTTTTGCGATGTCGCCTTTGTTCGTCATGTCGGATCTCAGGGAAGGCCGACAGCAGACGCTGTCCATTATGGACAAGGCTCGCTGTCGGCGTCGCCGTGGACGTCGCCCATTCGAGACAGGAGTCGTCTGCCCAAGACTGCAGCTGCTGGCGCTTTGGCACACCACTTGCTGCACGGCAGCGTATTGATGTTTGTCCGTACCCAGTTCGGGCGTGCCGATCCTTGTGGGCTCGAAGGGGGAGTTTGCCAACGGGCTCGACCGCGGGGTCGCCGACGATGACACCAGCTTCACCTTCGTCGTCGCCGTCATCACCGCCATCGTCCTCGCCACTGGCATCACCATCTGCATCGTCACCACCATCACCATCGCCATGGCCACCGTCTCCGTCGCCGTCATCACCGTCAGCGTCCTCGTCACTGGCATCAGCATCTTCATCCTCACCACCATCACCATCGCCATGGCCACCGTCACCGCCGGTGCCGTCACCGCCGCCGGCGTCCTCGACGACGAGGGCACGCCGATGCAGTTCGGGCCGGTCTCGTGCCGATGCTTCGCCAGCGCTCGGGAATCTGGCTGGGCCCCGATGGGAGTGTGCATCTGGCGGCTCGGGCGAGGGGCTCGCGCGAGGAGGAGGAGGAGGAGGAGGAGGAGGAGGACGAGAAGGAGGAGGATGAGGGGGAGGAGGAGGAGGAGGAGGAGGAGGAGGAGGAGGAGGAGGAGGAGGAGGAGGAGGAGAAGAAGAAGGAGGAAGAGGGGGAGGGGGAGGGGAAGGAGAGGAGGAGCAGGAGGAGGAGGAGGTACAGCAGCAGGAGGAGAAGGAGGAAAGGGAGGAGGAGCAGGAGCAGGAGGAGGTCGATGAGCAGAAGCACCAGCAGGAGGAGAAGGAGGATGAGGAGGTGGAGGAGGTGGGTCCAGGCAGGAAGACTGCGAGGAGGGCGGCCTTGCGAGAAGGAAGTACTGCAGGCTCCTGCAACAGGCTTTCTGGCCCCTCGGCGACGGCGCACGCCTCCTCGGAGCGCCCCTCCCCCCTTCACCGCCTTCTTCGGAGGCCGCGCCCCTCGAGGCATCCCCGCATCCCCGTGCTCGCGCCGCCCGTGCATGCCCCCTTCCCCCATCCTGCCTGGCCAGAATCGGTCTCGGCGAGGCGCAGCTGCCGAACACAGCCCGAGCCGTTGGAGAGCTGAAGGAGACGACGAAAACGTCAGAAGAGGACAGAAAGGTGATGGTTTTCTTGTTCATTCTTTTGCCGATTGGCGCGTGACCTCGCGCCCCCCCTTCCCCCCCCCACCCTTTATGGAGTGGATCTTGGCTGTTTATGGCGCCTGCTCCGAGCCGGTGGGGCCTCCCCCCTAGGACGCACTGCTGCACACAGTCGCACTGAGCAGAGGTCCAGAGCCAGACACACACACACACACACACACACTCACACACACACACTCACACACACACACTCACACCCTGCCTCCCCCCCCCCTTCCGCCCAGTGCCGAAGCGCCGAAGGTGAAGACGTTCACAGGCCCCCCGCGCGCCGCGAGCCTCGGCAGGGGCTCGCCGTGCAAGCCGCGCCGCCGCGGAGCTCTCGGCGAAGGAGCTCGGTGCCTCGACGCCCCCGCGCCCCACGGGTGCCCAGGCACCCAGCGCATTGAAACACATCAAGAGGGAGGCTTTTCCCAATTTTCGGCCTCCAGGGGCCCTCGCCGGGTCTCGGGACCGTCAAGAGACGACTCGGGATGAGAAACCGCTCCCCAGGGAAGGGGTCCAGACTTCTGGGGGTCGACGCCATGAAAGAATCATGGCGTCTGGGGTCTGGGTGGTTGGAAAGCCAGGGCGTCTGCACGCCAGGCTCCTCGGCCGACTGGGGCACGGCGAGCTCCTCGGCAGACAGGGCGGCTGGATGTACACGTCGGGACCTGCCCGAGCCGCCGAGCGCTCGGTTCGGAAGGAGGGGGGAGTTCGGATGCAACTCCTGGGAGGTCAAATTCTGATGTTGCCCTGGTCCGGAATCGGGCTTAATCCCGCTTAGTCCCGCTTAATCCCGCTTAATCCGGCTTACTTCCGCTGAATCCGAGGCCCGCTCCGGCGTAACAGCTCCCAAATGGGGCTCAATCCTCCTTAATCTTTCCGACGAAAGCCTCCCAGTAGTTGCCTCCTAAGGGGAGGGGGAAATGGTAGTTGTTCTTCAAAGCGCCGGGAGACGTTTTTGTTCCCCGCTTTCAGCTTTTCGTGTTGCGGTCGACCGAAACATTGTGTAAACACGGCAGCCCACAACATGACAAAAACGGCACCGGCTGGGCTCAAAACGAGCGAAAAATAGCAACGCAAAGCAAAACAAAGCGGCAGCGCAAGGTAGGAAACCATTGTCAGAAACGGGCAGCATAAAAAAAACATATACAACAACAAGAAAACGTATCGCAAAACCGACCGAGAACGGCGAGACGGCGATCCCTAAACCGAGAAGTGAGTGCTCCCAAAACAGACAAAAGACGTCGACCTCGAAACAAAAACAGCTGGGTCCAGAAACCGGCCGCGCGCAGCTGCAGTTTCGGCTCTGCCGCCTCCGGCGCTCTCCTCGACGACGCTGCCGCCTCCGACGCTCCTCGGAGGCGCCAGGAGGCCCAGCCGCGGGAGCCGAGTCGCCCCCCCCCCTCTAAGTTGGCTCCCCCCCCCCCTCTCGCCCCGGCACGGCACGGGGGACCCCCGGACCCCGCTGCCGAGCGCACCCCTTTCAGGAAGGCTCTGGACGCCCGAAATCTGGGCATCGCTCGGACGTGTGCGTGTTTCCTTCGGCGAGGACCATCGAGGAGCATCCCTGATCATTTGGCGAAGAAACCACGCACGAAACCGAAAAAAACACAGGGAACGGACGTCCGAGCGATGGCCAGAAATGGGTACGGAAAGAACGGGTACGATGCCCAACGGGCCCAACAGCAGTTCCTGTCCATTTTGAACAGGACTCGCTGTCCGCGCCGCCGCGGCCTGAGTCCATTTGAAGCAGAAGGCCGCCCGCCCAACCGCGGCCGCTGTTGGTTTGGGACGACATCTGTTGTTGGGCATCGTGCCCATTCTTCCCGTACCCATTTCGGGCGTCCAAAAAGGCAGATCTCTGGTAGGAGGACGGGGTTGGGAGAAACGAGAATCTCACTCACTACCCGTAAGCTGCAGAAGGTATCGTGTGCAGTATACGAAATATGCTATCGTTCATACCCTTCCTCCCCCCCCACCCCCCGTCCTCCCTGCACGACAGGTGTTCTCCTCAGAGGCGCAGGACCCCCGGGGCCCCGCTGCCGAGCGCACCCCTTCGAGCCCCCGGGGCGCGCCTCGTCTTCGCTCCTCCGGCCCTCGGCTGCTGCGGCGCCCTTCGCGCGCGGGCGCGCGCCCGCGCCTCGTGCCGGGGGCCCCGTGCGGGGGTGGGGGCCACCTCTGCCCAGACGGCGGCGGCCCTCCGTCTGGTGGTCTGGGCGGCCTCGAGGCGGCTCCAGAGTCGGTCACGCGCAGAGGGGGGGGGGATAGGTCTTAGGGCTCCTGGATGGGGTCGGAGCAGGTGTGATTGGTTTTTTTCCCAACCATCCTGTGGTGTTGGGTCCTCGCTTTGAAGAGACGGTGCCCCGCGTCTCCTTCCTCCCGCTGCCCCCTCCTCCTCCCTCCTCCATTTCGGCACACCCCTCACACGTTTCGTGGCCCCAGAGGGAGCTCCGCCGAAGGCCCCAGTGCTGCCGCCCGCATGCGTCCCGCACACCCAATTCGGCACACCCCTCACACGTTTCGTGGCCCCATAGGAGCTCCACCGAAGGCTCCAGTGCTGCCGCCCGCATGCCCCGCACGCCCATTTCGGCACACCCTTCACACGTTCCGTGGCCCCAGAAGGAGCTCCACCGAAGGCCCCAGTGTTGCCGCCCGCATGCGTCCCGCACACCCATTTCGGCACACCCCTCACACGCTTCGTGGCCCCATAGTGAGCCCCACCGAAGGCCCCAGTGCTGCCGCCCGCATGCGTCCCGCACACCCAATTCGGCACACCCCTCACACGTTTCGTGGCCCCATAGGGAGCTCCACCGAAGGCCCCAGTGTTGCCGCCCGCATGCGTCCCGCACACCCATTCGGCACACCCCTCACACGTTTCGTGGCCCCAGAGGGAGCTCCACCGAAGGCCCCAGTGCTGCCGCCCGCATGCGTCCCGCACACCCACTTCGGCACACCCCTCATACGTTTCGTGGCCACATAGGGAGCTCCGCCGAAGGCCCCAGTAGCGGCACTTACCTGCGTCTCCGCCACCCATCCCGGCCCCCCCCCCGCAGCAGCATCATGTTTCGGGGACCCCTAGGAAGCTCCAATGGAGGCCCCAGCGGCGGCCCTCACATGCGCTTCCGCCACCCATGTCTGCACGCCCCGCGCGTGTTTCATGTCCCCATAGGGAGCTTCACCGAATGCCCCAGTGGCACCCATCTCGGCACACCCCTCACACGTTCCGTGGTCCTATGGGGAGTTCCACTGAAGATGAAACCCGCAGCTGCGGTACTGACAACTGCATATGGTTGGGTTCTTCGCCAGGCTAATTCCCAACCGTCCTGTGGTGTTGGGTCTTCGTTTTGAAGAGACGTCGCCCCGCGTTCCTTCCTTTCCCGCTGCCCCCTCCCTCCTCCCACCACCCCATTTCGGCACACCCCTCACACGTTTCGTGGCCCCATAGGGATCTCCACCGAAGGCCCCAGTGCTGCCGCCCGCATGCGTCCCGCACACCCACTTCGGCACACCCCTCACACGTTTCGTGGCCCCATAGCGAGCCCCACCGAAGGCCCCAGTGCTGACGCCCGCATGCGTCCCGCACACCCAGTTCGGCACACCCCTCACACGCGTCGTGGCCCCATAGGGAGCTCCACCGAAGGCCCCAGTGCTGCCGCCCGCATGCGTCCCGCACCACGCCCATTTCGGCACACCCCTCACACGTTTGGTGGCCCCATAGGGATCTCCACCGAAGGCCCAAGTGCTGCCGCCCGCATGCGTCCCGCACACCCAATTCGGCACACCCCTCACACAATTCGTGGCCCCATAGGGAGCTCCACCGAAGGCCCCAGTGCTGCCGCCCGCATGCGTCCCGCACACCCAATTCGGCACACCCCTCACACGTTTCGTGGCCCCAGAGGGAGCTCCACCGAAGGCCCCAGTGCTGCCGCTCGCATGCGTCCCGCACATTCAATTCGGCACACCCCTCACACGTGTCGTGGCCCGATAGGGAGCCCCACCGAAGGTCCCAGTGTTGCCGCCCGCATGCGTCACCCGCACCCAAGCCGGCACACCTTTCAAATTTTTCGTGGCTTCTTTCGGGAGCTCCAC